GCGTCCAGCAGTTGTCCTCGCCTTTAGGTATCCAATGGGGCGTGCGCTTTTTCTTTGCCCGCGATGGTCAGTTGGTAGAGGCGCCGCTCCCTCAATTATTGCCCTCGCAAGTTTAAATCCTATAGGGGCATCTTTGGGCGGAATTTAGAGAACACTAATTTTTTCATGTCCCCCCCCCCCCCCCCCTTTAAAGGCTCATAACTTAAAAACGATAAGAGCTAGCTGAAAGTTGTCAATTGTAAAAATGTGTAAAATTTAATTCTAAATAGTTATAAGCTTTCCAAAAAAAATTTCAGGAGACGAAAACGACAAAAATGACAAAAGGAGTAGGTTGTGAGATCACGGACGCCGATCGAGAGTGCGTCTCCAGATACCTCAAAGAAAATGTGGACAACGTGATCAAAATCTCAATAATCATCAATATGGAGACTCGCCTCTTCGAACCATCAACCTACCTGGATGCCATTTCTCCAACTCCTCGAGCATCATTCCTGACGGCGAATTACAATGCAAGAGTGAACAGTAAAGTATGGAAACGGAGATCGAAGAAGAGGAATGGACTGTGGAACGGCGAGTTTTGAGTGATAATGAGAAGACGAGCTACGAGAGAAAAGTACAAATGATTCTGGATGAGGAAAGAGAGAAATTGATGGAGAGGAGAGAGTTGTTGAAAGTGGAGAAGGAGGAGGATAATGGATCCAGAAGGGCTTCGTTGATTTCGCAATTCAGGGAGAATCAACATGAAAGTGCATTGGATGATCATATGTTCAAGAGGGTAGGGAACTTTTTGGGGTTTTTTTCAGAACTGCAGCTTCTTAATTCCCGTTTCGTAGTGATCCCGGTTTAGCGTCTTCTAGGAACTCAAACAGGACAGTTGGTACGAGCTACCGAGCTAAACGGTATTTGCACAATTTCAGCTCAATAATCTCGGCTCTCATCAGCGAAAATGAAAATTTGTCAGCTATTGTCTATTCAAAAAAATCGCGCGAGTGAACGAGTGAAAACGTCTGCGTCTCTACAGCGCCTCTACAGGTTTTGATACCCTCCTTTTTTTTACTCGTTCCTCCGCGCGATTATTTTGAATAGACAATAATAAAATATTCTTCATATCATCAGCAACATTATTGATTGGCAAATTCTTGATATCTCTTTTAGAAGTGGAGATAATTGAGCTCGAAGTGTGGGGAGGCGTAACCAGCGGCGTCAACCGCGTTGCGCACGCTTTGAACCCAATTATCTCGGTTCCTATAAAAGATAACAAGATGTGGTCAAATGATCAAATGGGTACCGTAATATCAGAAACATTTTATTAATGGAAAACTTCTTGGTATCTGTTACAGGAGCTGAGATAATTGAGCTCGAAGTGTGTAATTATAGGAGTGGCGGAACCAGCGGCGTCAACCGCGTAGCTCAGTCGCGCCCGCTTTCAGCTCAGTTATCTCGCTTCCTATAATAGGTATCAAAATTTTGTCAACTAATAAAATGTTTATCATATTATTAGCAACATTTTATCAGTTGGCAAAACTTTGATATCTCTCATGTGGACCGAGATAATTGAGCTTAAAGATAACGCTACTTGTCCATTAACCCTGTCCAAATACGGTACGGCGCCTAACTCGGTTCATAGCGTAAATTTCTGTTTGATATAAAAAGGAAAATGTAGAACTTGAGATCTATAAAATGATATTAGGTTTGACTGTATTCGGATTTTGATTGGCAAATCAAAAGCCCTGAAAAAGATTGGTAAATGGGCTCGAGTAGTGGCGGATAGACTTTTTCCGGCTTCTGGCTCGATATTTTAAATTTGAATGATGTCGAATTACATATCATTTTGTAGATCTTGTCGATACCTACATTTTGAAGTTAAAATCAACCTAAAATGTCGAGCTTGAAGCAAGTTATGGCGGGTGGGCGGAGCAACTCATGGTACTTTAGCGGTTACTCCTTTATTTAGAAACGTTTTTTAAACAGTAAAATTTATATTATATTGTAGATCTTTCCAAAACCTGCAATTTGATATTAAATTCAAGCTAAAATATTTCATTTGAAGCGAGTTATGAGCATTTTTCTCGAAAATGTCTCTAAATTTCAGATCCTCGTGAGTTGCTGTGAGTCTTGTGAGCAACGTCGTCTGTCCTTCATGTATGATTCTCGAACGGAAGATGATTCAGAAGCAGATGAAGAAGACGATGGAGATGATGAAGAGGAAGAGGAGGAGCCACATTTCGAATGTGATAAGAGTGATAAGGAGCATGTTCATGATGTGAGTTGGAGAAAAAAAAGAAAATCTTGAAAAATATAGAAGTCGGCTAAATTAAATTTTAATGGATTTTCAAAACATTGGAACACCAAACTTAAATCTTTGTGCTCTTTCGAATGGTATACAAACTAATGTTGTAGCCCAAAAACTCAAAAAGTTATAGAAGTTACAATCTTCCAGATGCTCGCAAATCTATACTTCAACAAGGTTGTCCTGCCAGAAATGGAATATGTCGAGGATTTTGTCGATTTCCTCATTGATGCTGAACTAAACGATTTGCCAGTTCTGAAGAGAGCTTGCGAACGATATTTGTGTAGTGAGCTGAATACGGTAGGAGTGAAGCAAACTCGCTCTAATGAGATATATTCTATTTTTCAGAAAAAAGACATTGGGACATGTCTGCTTTTGGATTTGCTGTTCAATTCGATTGTTTTCAGTCTGCCTGTCATGAAATCGATGACTTTAACTGAGCTGGCGAATCGAACTCATGAATTTGTGGAACCGGATTCGCTGCTGGAGCAGGAGGAGTATAAGTGAGCAAAATTCTGAATTCCTTAAATTGAAAAATCGAAGAATTCTGAAAATCTAGAAATCTGAGAAAAGCTGGTTTTTGGACTTCCGAATTCTTAGAATTCTTGAAAAAAAAGCAATTTCTTGGAATTCCAGATTTTCAGATTACTCTGGAAAATTTTGAGTTTAGGGATTTGCTTAAACTTTTGGAAATCCGGGTTTTTGAACTTCTTGATATATCTGAGATTCTGAGATCCTCAGTTTTCAAGATTCTAAGATTCTGAAATTCTGAAATTCTGAAATTCTGAATTTCTGAATAGCTGAATTTCTGAATTTCTGAATAGCTGAAATTCTGAATTTCTGAATTTCTGAATAGCTGAATTTCTGAAATTCTGAAATTCTGAAATTCTGAATTTCTGAATAGCTGAATTTCTGAATTTCTGAATTTCTGAAATTCTGAAATTCTGAAATTCTGCATAGCTGAAATTCTGAAATTCTGAAATTCTGAAATTCTGAAATTCTGAAATTCTGAAATTCTGAAATTCTGAAATTCTGAAATTCTGAAATTCTGAAATTCTGAAATTCTGAAATTCTGAAATTCTGAAATTCTGAAATTCTGAAATTCTGAAATTCTGAAATTCTGAAATTCTTTTTGAGAAACAACTTCGGATTTTCAGGTTTCTCTGGACTATCTGAAATTTTGGAAATTTTGGAATTTTCTGGAATTCCTGACTGTCCGAATTTTTTAGAATTCAGGTTTCAAAGTTTTCCTGAATTACCTAAATTTGGAAATTTTGAATATCAAATTTTCAGAATTCTCTGAAAATTTGTGTTTTGAATATTTGACTGTTTTTCTTTCAGTTTTTACTAGAATTTCTGCAAATTTAGATTTTTGAACTTTCAACTATTCTGGAATTTCTTTGATTTTTTGATTTTCTGATTTTCTGAAAAACCCGATATACCTGTGAACCATCCTTTAAAAAATTCCAAAAATAATTTTTTTCCAGAAATTTGGACAAACGAATGCGAAATTTGGCGGATCGAAATCTGGTGGAAATCATTGAACAATGTGTCACTTTTCGAGATCAAAAAGCTCGAGTTCGAGTGCTTCCAGTCGCTGAATCCTTCGAATCCAATTCGTTCGATTTGACTAATTAATTAATATTGGCTTAATTACCCTGATTTAAAAAACCACACTGTCTCATTTTCCGTCTACCTAATGCGCTCTATTGAGAAAATCACAAAACGAACGATGAATATGGTTTTCTCAATAGAGCGCGTTTGTCTTTAGAATTTTCGTTTTTTCTCTTTTTTTCGATTATCTTTTTTTCTCCGTGGTCCTTTTTTTTCCTGAATTTCATCTTGATTGTTTTTTTTTGAAATATAACTTTTGAAGAAATTTTTCTTTTAAATGACCAGCCTGCTTGCTGCGCCTCCACGCTCAAATAGCTGGTTTGGCGCGACTTGGCATTGTTTTTACTCGTTAATCGCTCCGCCCCTTACTCTTCATTTATTTATTATAAGAATGATAAGAATGACAATTTCAGAAACAAAAAATGGCAAGATCAATAAATTCTGAAGTTTCGTTTCCTTATTTTCAGTCTGAATTATGCAGAACACGTCCATTTTATGAATCGTCTGATTGTCGGGCATCGTTTAAGTTTTGAATCCATTATCTTGAACTTCGCAGGTGAAAATTCTTCTAAACGTCAGAATGGTTCATAAATGGTCCATGTCCATGTGCTCCAGCATACGAACCAGAGAGAGTCTCCTGACTTCAGCTCCAGCTCCAGCTCCAGCTCCAGCTCCAGCTCCAGCTTTAATTTTCGCTTTTTGAACTAAAAGCGATTCAACTTTGAGCCAATTTATCTCGGCTACTTCGAAAGATATAAATAACTTTCAACAGCTAAACTATTTATCATGATATCACTAATATTTTATCAGTTGGCACATTTTTGATATCTTATACAGGAGCGGAGGCAGCCGCGCCCACTTTGAGCTCGATTATCTCGGCTCCTATACGAGATATTGAGAATCGGTCAACTGATAAAATATTTTTCAGGACATGATAAACATTTTATCAGTTGATCACTTTTTGATATCTCTCACAGAAATCGAGATAACTGAGTTCAAAGTGTAGTGCTACGGCATCCACAGGATTTCATAAATTCAAAATCCGGTATCATCTTCTTTTGAAAAGTGCACGAATACTCTAGAAATGATGGAAAAGTATATACTTTTTCATTCCATTTACCCCCTCCATTTTGCAATTTTCATTTTCTCCATCTTTTTCATATTACCCTTTCCCCTCTTCATCATCTTAAAGGGCCGTTTGGTATGTGTGCATCTAATTACGTGGGGGACATGGAAACATTGGTGGCATCAAGCCAATCTTTTCGAGTAATGATGAGCAATGGAGGAGACAAAAGACAACCAGAGACTTTGACTCTTCATTGTTTCCCTTTCTCATTTTTATTTCATTTCAAACTGATGAGTTCCAATTTGGTGGATTGGAATTTTGTTCCAATTTCAATTTCAGAGAGGGCCTTACTGGATTTTCATTTTGAAGAATTTCTGAATTAAGATGTTCCAATTTTAGCAAGATTTTCTAGATTTTATTAATTTCAGAATGCATGGGGAAAATATTTCCCTGAAACTTCGAATTTTTATAGTTTTTTAGGATATTCCAGTTTTATGAGTTTCCTTAATGTTTAATTTTTTCTGGATCTCTTTCTTTTTTACAAATTTCTTGGAGTTTTAGATTTTAGCTTGTTCTTCAATTTTGAAGTTTCTGAGATTTCAAAAAATCCTGTTTTTCAAAGTTTCGAATTTTTGGATTTTTGGATTTTCCTATTAAATTTGCAATAATGAATTCCCGGATCTTTCAATTTGCTCAAAATTATCTGAATATCTAAAATTTGATTTTTGAAAGTTTTGAGTTTCTAGAACATTCTGAATTTCTGAATTTCTGAATTTCTGAATTTCTGAATTTCTGAATTTCTGAATTTCTGAATTTCTGAATTTCTGAATTTCTGAATTTCTGAATTTCTGAATTTCTGAATTTCTAAATTTCTAAATTTCTGAATTTCTGAATTTCTGAATTTCTGAATTTCTGAATTTCTGAATTTCTGAATTTCTGAATTTCTGAATTTCTGAATTTCTGAATTTCTGAATTTCTGAATTTCTGAATTTCTGAATTTCTGAATTTCTGAATTTCTGAATTTCTGAATTTCTGAATTTCTGAATTTCTGAATTTTTCTGAAATTTTTCAATTTTCGAACCCCAAAAAATGAATAGACCAAAAAAAAATGTTTTTGACCTACTCATATTTTTCTGCGCCGTTCTCATCTAATCCTTTTCATCAATCACTCATCGTACGTTTGCGGCAAATATTTTTGTTTCGAAATTTTTTCTTCCAATTTTTGTTCCAGTGGGACCACCAGTAATAATGAGCCCGAAAAAATTAATCCCAACATGTTGAAATAGCCTATTTTTCTCTAAATCTCTTCTCTCTAACCATCTAGTAAGAATCAAGAAAAAAAGGAAAGTTTCGCTGCATTTTTTTTCTCAAGAGGATTCCCAAAAAAAAAATTTTCGCCTGCAGAATTTCTTCTCCAGCTTCCTGCTCTCAAAAAAAGTTGTTCAAAAACACTAATACCCTTCTAGAATATTCACAAAAAGCAGACAATAGGTGTTTTTCGGCTCCGCCCACTTTGGGTGCCGAAAATTGAGTTTTTTTTTCTTTTAAAAAATCTTTTTTTTTGAAAAAAAATCTGAAAATTGAATTTGAATTTCTATTCAAACTATACTGGTCACATTTCGGTCAAAACCCAGTATTTTTGACAATATTTTTGACCAGCTTAGCTATACGGTCGCTGCCCTCTCTTCTCGCTCGCTAAAAGCTGTCAGTTTCAAGCTCAATTATCTCAATCACTGTACGCGCTATCAGGTTACCGAGATAATTGAGCTCAAGCTTTGGTAAGAGGAGCATCCAGAGTTTCCAACCGCGTAGCTCAGCCACGCCTACTTTGAGCTCAATTATCTCGGCTCCTATAAGAGGTATCGAAAAATTGTCAATTAATAAAATGTTTATCAGAATATCAGTAATATTTTTAGTTGTTCAAATATTAGTATCTCTTCCAGAAAGCTAGATAAATTTGATCAAAGTTAAAGACCCCGTTTTTTTTGGTTTTTTTTTTAACTTTTAGACTTATCGTTTTGTTTGGGTATAAGTTGTTTGGGTACTGTATAAATGCCCAAATTTAGCCTTGACTTTATTCTTTTGTCCCCTTTTTGCCCTCTCACTATAATTATGAAATGGACCGCCCGTAGAGAGGGAGGGAATCTCGGGAAGGAAAAGAATCACAAAGAAAAGGGGATGGTTATAATTAGGGATCCGAAAAGTGTCCTTCTTTTTGAGTTTTACCCAAAATGTTTACTTTTGTTTTTTGTTAGCTTTTGAAAGTTGTAATTGCAATTAAAAAATAATTGACTTCCAAATTTAATTGATCAGCCGAGCACTTTTTTCATGACCTTGGGTTCAAAACTGGTAGAACAAATATAGGCAACTTATATATAGTTTTGTAGATTTTAATAAGTTCTACATTTAACATTTTAGATAGTTCCAAAGTTTTCATTGTGAGCAGAGGTATGCTCCGACTCATCACCCTAGTCGTCAATTAGGCCACTAAAAGACAACTTCAATTTGAGCTCAATTATCTCAACTCCTGTAAGAGATATCAAAAGTTTGTAAATTGATAAAATGCTGGTGATATAATGATTAACATTTTATTAGTTAACAAAATTTCGATATCTTTTATAGCAACCGAGATAATTGAGCTCAAAGTGTGCATGTATAGCCAACAGCTTAGATGAGCGGCGCCGGCGGCTCCAATCGTGTAGCTCTGACACATTTTTGTTGTGATTCCATAAAACTACCGTATTCTTGATTTGAAGTTTTTTAGAAACTTCTAGAAACTTCTCGAAATTTCCTTATTCCTAACCTATAATTTAACTTCTTAACCTAAAATTTCCGTTTTCTGAGAATGCACTTCTCAGAAGTATAAGGTCACTTTTCCCTTCGAAACTAAATTATATATGTTTATCTTTTAGGAAATTTTCAAATTTGGAATTTCAAATTCTATGTTTACTATTAGCTTTATCTTAACCCAAAAACCTTGTGATCAACTTTTGTTCTAGTAGTTTCCAAAAAATTTCCTAAAGACAACTTGAAGGGTCTGAATAAGGACTTTGTACTTGTGGATTTTTCTGGAATTTTGAAAAATTATAATCCAAATGATCTCCAAAAAGTTTTCTATCGATGTGTACAATTTTCAAAAGAATTGGTCCAGTTTTAGCAGAGATAGACAGTGTGTTATCACAAAATTGCCAAAATTTACAACCCTTTTGTTTTGTGATGACAGATGGGGTGGTTGTAAAATTGAGTAAAAATTATTATACATGTTTTATTATCTTTCCTCTTCTGGTCTAGAACGATTTTGTAGTTTTATACCGTATTTCTTCTGAGCTCGGCACCTCTGGGACCTCGGGTTTAGCAGCGCGCACTTTGAGCTCAATTATCTCGACTCCTGTAATAGATATGAAAAATTTGTAAACTAATAACATGTTGGAAATTTTATAACAAATATTTTATTAGTTGACGACTTTTTGATATCTATTA